TTCACGAACAAAACCCAGACCACGTGAGAAATACTACAAAGAATCAACTGTGACCTCATATTAGAAAGCTTTTGTACAGCAAGGGAAACCACCAACAGAATGAAGAGACAACCCACAGAGTAGGAAAAATTTTTTACCAGCTATTCCAACAAAGGACTATTATCTAAAATATATACAGAACAAAAAAATCAGACCCCCCAAATTTAAAGACCCAATGAAAAAATGGGCATCTGAAATAAAAAGACACTTCTCAGATGAAGAATTAGAAATGGCAAATAAATATATGAAAAAGTGTTCAACATCACTGGCCATTTGTGAAATGCAAATTGAAACAACACTGAGGGGCCAGGGATTTAGCTCAGTGGTTCCATCTCACTCCAGAAAGAATGGCTGCTATCAAGATATCAACCAATAACAAATACTAGAGGGGCTGTGGGGGAAAAGGAACCCTTCTCCATTACTCCTGGGAGTGTAGACTGGTGCAACCACTGTGGAAATCAGTGTGGAGATTTCTCAAAGAACTAAAACTAGGAGCTGGGGATTTAGCTCAGTGGTTCTGCCACCTGCCTTGCAAGCAGAAGGACCCAAGTTCGATCCCCAGTTCCAAAAAAAAAAAAAAAAGCACTAAAACTAGAGGTTCCATTTGACCCAGCTATACCGCTTCTTGGTATCTTCCCAAAAGAATTAAAAGCATCCTATCACAGCAATATATGCACACCCATGTTTATAGCAGCACAGTTTGTAACAGCTAAATCTTGGAAACATCCCAAATGCCCATCAACTGACAAGTAGATAAAGATGTGGTTTTTTGTTTGGTTGGTTGGTTGGGTTTTTTGGTACTGGGGATCGAACTCGCGACCTTGTGCTTGTGCTTGTGCTTGCGAGGCAGGCGGCGGAACCACTGAGCTAAATCCTCAGCCCTAGATGTGGTTTTTTTATACAATGGAGGACTACTCTACCATAAAGAAGGATGAGCTTCAGACATCTATAGCTAAATGGATTGTCCTTGAGACCATACTCTTAAGTGAAATAAACTGGGCACATCTGTTTAAATACCACATTGTTTCTCTGGTGTGAGAAACCAAAAGTGAAAATAAGGACTGAGATGTATAATGGATGTTGGGAAATGGGAAGAAAGTGTTCAAATGGGATGGAGAACAATGGAGGAAGGAGGAAGAAAGGAAGGAAGGGACAGGGACAAGAAAAAAGTGAAAATAGAAGGAAAAAACAGAGACAAAACTTTTGTATGTAGGGAAGGGAGGGGGCTTGAGCGAGGGAAAAGATAAAATTTATTTTTTTAAAAAAGAGGAAAATTATGGCTAAAATAGAAAAAATAAATAAATAAAACACAGGTAAATTTCTTTCTTCTTTTGTAGCAGAAAAAGTCTTTTCCACTACATTCAGAGGCCTCTCTGCCTCTGAAAGAATATTTTTTTTGGTACCAGGGATCGAATTCATGACCTTGCATTTGCCAGGCAGGCGCGGTGCCACTGAGCTACATGCCCAGCCCTATTTTGGCTTTAAAGCCTTAGAAAAGGTACTCCTGGAATACTTTCCTGGCCTGTCTATTTTTAGTTTGCACTTCATGCCAAGAAACCGAAACAAAATTAAATTTCTTTAAATATACTAGAAGCAAGCACCAGAAGCAAATTTATCTGATAAAAAAAAATTTTCAGGACAGAAGAAAAGCCTTTACTTAGAAAAATCCAGAATTCTTTTCTCAGTAGTTACCCAAAAGATTAGAGGGAGAAAGTTTATTAAGAAACAGATGCAGGGCCAGGGATTTAGCTCAGTGGTGCTGTTGCGCCTGCCTAGTAAGCGCAAGGTCCTGAGTTTGATCCCCGGTACCAAAAAAAAAAAAAAAACAAAGAAATAAAAGCAACCCAATCAAAATGACAACAAATTACTCGAGAAGTTCAACTGTGTTTCAACAGGAAAAACTTTAATAACTGTATTTTCTGCTGGGTATGGTGGTGCACACGTGTAAACCCAGCATTCAGGAGGCAGAGACAGGATTGCTGTATGAGGCCATCCTAGGTTACATAATGAGCTCTAGACCAGCCTAAACTATATAGTGAGACCCTGTCTCAAACAAAAACAAAACAAAACTATATTTCCTTAAGGCAGGAAGGAAATGCAATGTTTGTCAAACTAAGAGGTTTAGAGAAAATCCCACTAATTATTGTTAAATCGGTTAAGTATCCAATGTCAAGTTAAAATCAAGACACATTTTCATAAGAAACATTTTAATCATAAACACAAAGCATAGACCAGCTTTACACATAACAAAAAGAAAAAATTTCACATCAATTTGTGGATGTGCAATAATCTACTTTGTCTATGAGATTAACAATGCTACCAAAAGAGGTCTGGTTTGTTTTCCACGAATTAATAACGACTTAACAGTTTACCCTGAGCATCACTCAGGCAGCACATTTGTTGACCTACTGACTCTCCTGAGCATCATTTGGGCAGGTATCATTTCAACCAGCAGATTCTTGTTTGCAAGAGATACACTCCTATTTGTTTGTTTTATATTGACTACTTTTTGGATACTTTTTTGTTTAGAATGTTATATTTGCCTTTGATATTTGTTTCTAGTGAAATCTAATAAATTCTGTTACTTTCTTTTACTAATTCCTGTTTATTTTATTAGTGAAAAATAATAACTTTGTGCTACAATCTATAAAAGCTCTTATTGTAAGTACATTAGATATAATTTTTATACTTCTCCAGAAGTCAGTGATATTCTTTTTTTTGGGGGGGGGGACATTGAGATTGAATAGGAAGGAAGTGTCAAAAGATCTGCAAAAGAGAAAACAAGGAAAAAGGGAGAAATACCAGCCTATTAGAGAGGAAAAGTCTGTGTCATGCTATGGAAAAACAAGACCTCTCCTTATTATCAACTACTTCATAATACAGAAATGATAGAACTTGAAAGAGAAATGAAATTAAAGAAATTCCAATAGTGGTCACTGATTATACTAATTTTGCGGGTGGGGGGGCCGGGGATTTAGCTCAGTGGTTCCGCTGTGTGCCCGGAAAGTGCAAGGACCCAAATTCGATCCTTGGTACCAAAAAACAAAACAAAACAAAAAAAACAAAGTAAGACCATAATGCAAAAAGAATTCGGAAAGAGACTAGATACTGCTGTCCAGATTATGACGCTGAATTGTGCATTGAATGTTTTAAGATATACTAGACACAAAGATTATTGAATAAATTTTTTTTTTTTTTTGGTACTGGGGATCGAACTCGGGTCCTTG